ACCGCTCTTGTATAAATTCTGACAAGAAGGTTTTTTACCCAAGCCCACTTGTCAACTACGTGAAATATCGCTCAGGACCCGAGGCCCGAAACCCTTAACCCCTAAGCCCTTAACTTCTAATCCCTTAACCCCTAAATCCTAAACCCTTAACCCCTAAACCCTTAACCTGTCAACCTTGACCCGCCCCCACCGCGGGTATGGGAGCGCATCCTATCCTCCGGATCCCCTAAATGACGCTATGCCGAGAAGTCTAGGGCTTAGGTTTAATGGTTTAGGGCTGAGAGTTTAGGGTGTAGGGCTTAGAGTGTAGGGCTTAGGGTTCAGGGCTTTAGGCTTTGTTTGTTTTTTTGGACGCTCTTTTCGCCTGCCCGGAGTTAGACTTTAGGGTTTAGGGCTTAGGGTTTAAGTTTAGGGTCCCAATGGTAGGAGTTTCTCAGAGACGGTTTCCTGGAGCGCGCCTCATGGGGGGATATGAGGAGATGATAGGATCCTTCTTTTTGATAATGTATTGAAGAAACTCTTGGGCCGGAGCACCAGGTAAGTCGGAAATTCGCTCTATGTCACTATGTTGAGACATTTTTCAGAAAAGTTTGGGGACAATACACTTTTTAAGGGTCCAAGGACTCAAATAATATGGTCTTAGGGCCCAAATACTATAATGATACTGGTATTTGGGCCCAAAAACCCTACTATTGGGTCCTTGGACCCTTAGGGCTGTAACATATCATGACATCTTTTTGCAAGCCTTGTTCATGAAGCAGACCAGGGCTGGAACACCGACCTGGCGCAAGCACTAGCAGAGCTCCAGCCCAGAGGCTTACTGGTGGATACTACCTGGACCCCAAGAGGATAACCGTTCCCGGGATCCATTCCTCCTTTCCCTACCAACAACCAATAGGCAGGCTATAGGGTGAGTGGAGCTCAATGTTTAGGATGGGTTTTCGATTTAGGGTTTTAGGGTTTAGGGTTGAGGGTTTTGGGTGCTTGTGGGGATGTGACGCGAATGTAAGTTATCCTATTTTCACTTATCGCTACCCATGAATCTCCAAGTATGGTTGAGGCTTGAGGGTGTGGCTAAGTATTCAGGGTTGAGGTTGAGGATTCTTGGGTTTAGGATTTTTGGGTTTATTGGCAACTGCAGGGCTTCACCCTATTGCGAAACCGCAACAACTCATTTATCAAACATGGTCCATAAGCAGGTACTGACCCGGCTATAAGTAGCTTGAAAACCTCTACACATCTGAGTCTGAGGATTTGTAGAAAGTTCTCGGAAGGTACACGAGCATGATGCCGGGCTATAACCCCAGTATATACCCTAGTAATCCCTATTACGATATAGAAGTTCCATTTTCTTTTCCATTATCAAATTCAACCCTAACCCTAATATTACCCCAATGAGCATGGTGCTGCTGAGCTAAAAGCTGTGGGTTTTGTGGCCAGTGTGCGAGCTTGGAAGAATCCTTCGCCCTACAGCCCCTAGATTTCAGGGCTTATGTAGGAATATATTGGGGTTGTATAGGGATAATGAAAAGAAAATGGAAACTGCTACTTAGGGTTTAGGGCTATGTAGGTGCATTTTTCAACTCGAAGCCATGCTCATTGCAGTTGAAGGCTTGAGAAAGCAGGCTTCAGGGTTTAGGCACATCTCTTGAGGCAAGCAACTCGCCGCAAGACACCGTAGCAGATAATGAAATACTTGAGCTTTCGAACCAGCAAACATCAGCTGAGCACCGCCTACGTAGTACCTGCGCGCTCCAGGTATGATCCCTGCCCGCCCGAAGCTCTTTTCCAGAGAGTGCCATAGACTCGGGGGTTTCTCAAGAGCCGCAAGTGTTTTTTTACAGTGATGGTTCTACTAGCAGGAATATTGAATTCAGCATTCATGTATTTGGTAATTCAGCCAAGGCCCCACAGGAAGGCAGGAAAAAGAGGAAAGAAACCACAAACAAGCGACCGTGTTCATCCCCAGTTTGGTTGCCCAGGATGTATGAAGACGACGGTGAGTTGATGTATAGCCCCTACCTGGACCCCAAAAGTATGTAGAATAATGGCCCTTATGGCTGTTATTATGGGTTTAGGGCTATTATTTAACATACTTTTGGGGTTTAGGTAAGCCCAAAGCTCTAAAACCTAAACACTAAACCCTGAACTCTGAACCCTAAACCCTGAACAGCCACTGCCTGCTTGGAGAGGAGGATGTGCTCGCGGGTCTGGGCCATAGGGCCATCTGGGGAGGAAATGACCAGGATGCCGCCGTCCATCTGGCATGCGCCTGGTTTCATAGGGTTTAGGGTGTAGGGGCTTTAGGATTTAGGGTTTAGGGGGTTTAGGGTTTAGGGGGTTTAGAGGGGTTTAAGGTTTAAGGGTTTAGGGTCCAGGGGGCATAGCGCTTGGGATTGCCTTGACCCAAAAGAGTAAATGACATAATCACCCAAAATCCCTTAATGTAGACCCCTGATTAATCACCCCCCTCCTTTTAAAGGCCTTAATATTAGGATCCCTATCATCATCCCCATTAAGTTTATTAATCAGGGGTCTGCATTCCCACTAACAATAGCAAAAAGGGCGATTATTCTACATGGGTGGGTGTCAAAATTATGGTCCCTTTTTGGATCCCTGTTAAAATACGGCACCTCATATTTAGGGTACCCAAAAATTAAAAAGGGATCAGAATTTTGACAACCACCCACATACTTTGTGGGGTAAGATAGCAGTTCAGGAACATTCTCTGTAGATTTTCTATGGCTACAGGAAGTATGTGAGCGTGTAGCTTTAGCACTCTTGACTCCTCATTTCCATCCAAAGCCCAAAAGTATGAATATGGGAATATGGGGAATATTTAGGGCTGAGGGTCTAGGGCTTACTATCCCACTGATATCCTAAATGCGAACCCGTGGCAAATCAGTGCTACCTGCACCCCGAAAGTATGTGAAATAATGGCCTTTTTGGCTGTTATGATGGGTTTCGGGCTATTATGCTACATACTTTTGGGGTTTAGGTAGGCATCATGAAGCCAGCATCATTGGCCACTCGAAGGCCATGCGGCCCGCAGAAAGGCTGACATTGCCCCCAGCCAGAAATGAGCGTGTCATAGGCGAAATGATAAGGACTCGACATAGTAGCTTCCCTAAATAAGGGGACCCTACTATAGACCCCAAAATGTTATAATCCTTATCATAGGAACCTCCAGAAAGCTACCCCTAATTTTGGGAAACCCCCACATAGTTTTACAACAACTTCCATCCAAAGGGGGCAACATCCAACCGGCGAGTACCTGGCAGTTTCCCAACATATTAAACCCAGTTTCCGTGTCCTGTAACTCCTTTAGAACCAAAATCAAAAATAGCATGTTTAATCGTTCCTTAGGGTTAAACCTCGTCTCCAATATTCTTGGGATAACATGCCCCAGCCTCTAAGCGCCAAATGGTCCCTAAATCCATACTTTTCCCTAAGCCTTAAACGCTCACACCCTAAACCTGGACCCTCAACTCTAATATCAGATTAGGACAAAAGTTGAGTCTCGCCTGTGATCATGTTCTTGACGTAATCTGCGTGGCCCGGGCAGTCCACATGGCAGTAGTGCCTGGCTCAGGGGTTTGCGGTTTAGGGTTCAGGGTTGTGGTTTTAGGGTTTAGGGTTTTGGTTCTAGGGTTTAGGGTTTAGGGTTTTGGTTCTAGGGATTTGCTTTAAGATTTAGGGTTTAAGGTTTTGGGTACAGGTTTTGGGGTTGATCTGACGTCAACCTAAACCATGAACCCCAAAACTAAACTACCCTAATCCCTGAACAGCCTGAGAATTCTTAGTTCGATCTAGGTGCATGAAATTATTTTCAAGGACGCCGGGCTAATAGGGTTTAGTATAAGCGTTGGGATGGACGCAAGAAATGAACACGTCTTTTGATGGTGACAGCTGCCAGATACCTATATGTTTAGGAGCATGCAACGTTCTCCAACTCCCCAACTGCTGGCCCAAAAACATCGAATTCTGTAGAGGAAAAAGAACTGAAGCCTACGCGATCCCAATTCATCCCCTCCCCCTAATATTAAACCCCCGCACCCCCCCCCCCCCAATTTTAAATACTCCCATTACTTGAGTTACCACATAACGGAAATATTTAATACTAGGGGGGTGGTTTGATACTACGGGGAGGGGATTAACATGGAACACCCAGAAAGAGCTCTGCAAAGACCATTGAGGGACCCCAATATTGACAAGGTCTTCCGAAAAAAAGATTGGCTCCTCAAGTTCTCCAAGGGCGAAGGCGCGAAGTCTTGTGTGGGTTTAACTGGCTCCTTACTCAGGAAATATCCTTGAAGATTATGGTTTCTTGATTACTTCTTGGTGTAAGTAGCCCAAGAAAACTCAACCATATGTCCGACCTCGACCCAGGCAAGTATGAAGTCCTTGAACTCATGACTGGTTCCAAGAGTGATCAGATGAACCAAATTGCCTACATCTTCAATTCGATCTGATTCCGCAGCACAGACCCACTCTCTCATAATTTAAAACCAGAAGCCTTGGACCGGAAGCTTTAGGAAAGCTGAGGGAACTACCTTCATAGAAAAAAAAGTGAGAAACTTTGAACAAACGCTAGAACCTAAACCCCTAAACCCCTAAACCCTAAACCCCACATTGAGTCTGCCGTGCAGTTGCCAACTTGAAGGACATGATACAGCATTTGTTTTTGTAACCAGGGGCCGCATGTAACGCCCTGTAGACTCCAACCAAAGTCCCTTTCTCTGGGCCCTACTGCAACCGGCCTTAGACCTAGCATTTAAGATAGCATGTTTTTTGTAGTTCCCAGGGGTTGTATTAAAGATCAAAAATACTAAACCCTAAACCCTGAACCCTTAATTAAAGATCAACAATAATTACTTCAGGGATAGGAATAGAGAGACCTTGAAGCGTCCTACGCCTTCCTCCGGACCCAAAGCCAAGAATTTCTGCCAGTTCACACACATTGGGGTTAGGGTGTTGAGGGCCTGGGGGTTTAGGGTTTATATAGGGGTTTAGGGTTTAGAGATTTAGGGTTTAGAGGTTATGGTTTAGGGCCAAAAGTATTCCCGGATTTGGGCCCGCAGGTAAGCCCTAAACCGCAAACTCGCAGAGCTTCCGAACACAATCAGTTCGATCCGGTCTCTATCTCAGACTCACTGTCCACATCGGGGCTTTTTTAAGGGAAGTCAGCGGATACGAGAGATGGGGGCATTTGCAAGAACAAGGGTCCCCACATGTGCACCAACCTTTGTAGAAGGAAACCTGGAAAACCAATCGACTACATTTTTGGCTCATATGAGCTACAGTCTAAACTCCTAGTATCCCCTTTAATAACCCCTAGAGTAGTCCCCTACATAGCCCCCTAAAAAACTCCCTTTAAGGAGTTGAGACTATACCTCATATGCTGCAACTTGAGCTCGCCCCTGACTTATGTAACCTAGAAACCTACTCTACGCGCCTAAACAGTTACCAGCATTGTGGTCGTAGATTCTCTGTATAACTACAGCATAGGTACCTCGAATAAAGCTGGCAATGGTAGTGCTCGTTCAGGCTTCTACAATACGATCTAGTACAGGGGCGTGTAGCGCAGATCTATGGTCACAGGCGCTGCTTTAAACCCTAGACTCTAGACCATACACCCTAAATCCTA